GAAGCAACAATGTAGCTGAACCCCGATCCCTGCCCATGGATCTGGGAGGGTTTAGTCCCTGCCCCAAGGCGGGCGGTGGCAAGCTGTGGCTGTGCTGAGAAAAAGCCCCTGCACAAACCTCCCGGACTGTGTGAGAACAGAGAGCAGAGATGTAAACGAAAGCTACAATGTAGCTGAACCCCGATCCCTGCCCTTGGAGCTGCAAGGGTCGAGTCGCTGCCCTGAGGCCGGTGGGGGCAAACTGTCTGTGCTTGAGATCAAATCCCCCTACAGGCTCCAAATGATCCCGGCTCCTGCAGAGACTGTGGGGGCCAAGGTCAAGCCCCAGCCAGCTTCCACTGAGATAAGCCAAAAGCCCCAAGCCCCTCAAAACCCCATGGGTCTGTGCCTACTTATATTTATGATGCTCCTCCTGCATTCCAGTTGTGTTAAAGTTCCCTCTAGGCAACTCTCCTGGGCTGGATTCTGCGGAGTCCCTCTGGTATGTTACTCCGTCACCATCTTCCTGGAAGTCCCATAGGTTGTCTTAGTTGCTTCAGTGGAACCAAGTGTCACTAGGCATACTGAATGATTCGTATAGATTCAGATTCAATCTGTGGACTGAGCAAATAATCCAACAAGAATGTGACATCGTGAATCAAAGAAGACTTATTAACAAAGTGCCAATTGCAGAAGACACAGTATTGTTTCCTGAGAGCAAAGAGAACTTGAAGCACATATTGATGAAGATAAGACTTATGGATTACACATCAACATAAAACAAATATCCTCACAACTGGTCCAAATAGCAACATCAGAAAATAAACACAAACACGATTAGAGTTGTCGAGGATGTCATTTTACTTGTCCCCAAAATAAACACCTCTGGAAGCAGCACTCAAGAAATCAGTGTGTGTGTGTAAGATATGAAAACAATAATAATTTATAATTTATCATGGGTTCATGAGGGGCAGGGGGAGGGAAGTAGAAAGGGACCTGATACCAAAGGTTCAAACAGAAAGTAAATGTTTAGAAAATGATGACTGCAACATCTGTACAAATATGCTTGATACAATTGATGTATGGAATGTTGTAAGAGTTGTAAGAGCCCCAACTAAAATTATTATTTAAAAAAAGAAATCACAGGGCTTATTGCATTGGGAAATCTGCTGCAAAAGATCTCTTTAAGCTCCAAAACAAAAAGTCATATGATTGTAAGGGTGAGTGTGGAGTGGATACCCAAAGCCCATATGTACGCAATTGGACATGTCTTTACATAGGGTCATGGGGAGGAGAGGAATTAGGGTGCAGTGTAGCACCAATGAGACATACAACTTTCCTCTAGTTCTTTAATGCTTCCTCCTTACCACTATCATGATCCGAATTCTACCTTACAAATCTGGCTAGATTCAGAGTATGTACAGATAAGAGCTCACAACATAGGGAATTCAGGACAGATAGCCCCCCAATATTGAGAGCAGCTATACCAGGAGTGTAAGGGAAAGGTGGGGGAGAAAGGGGGAACCGATCACAATGATCTCTGTAACCCCCTCCCAGGGGGATGAACAACAGAGAGTGGGTAAAGGGAGACATGGGGCAGTGTAAGACATGAACAAATAATAATAATTTATAAATTATCAAGGGTTCATGAGAGAGGGAGGGTGGAGGAGGGCTGGGGATAACATGAGAAGCTGATACCAAGGGCTAGAAATAAAATGTTTTGAAAATGATGATGGCAACAAATGTACAAATTCACTTGACACAATTAATGTATGTATGGATTGTGATAAGAGTCGCACGAGCCCCCAATAAAATGAATTTTTTTAAAAACATCTCTAAAGTTTTAAAAA